TACTAGGAGCAAGGACGCTACTAGGGGCTCCTGGCATCGCTACTAGGAGCAAAGACACTACTAGGGGCTCCTGGCCTTACTACTAGGAGAAAGGACGCTACTAGGGGCTCCTGGCATCGCTACTAGGAGCAAAGACACTACTCGGGGCTACTGGCTTTACTACTAGGAGCAAGGACGCTATGGGGCTCCTGGCATCGCTACTAGGAGCGAAGACACTACTAGGGGCTCCTGGCCTTACTACTAGGAGCAAACACGCTACTAGGGGCTCCTGGCATCGCTATTGGGGGCTCCTGGCATCGCTACTAGGAGCAAAGACACTTTTTTTTCCACGAGTGCGGACGCCGTGTGGGCGGAGTGCCCAGGTCATCATTGAAGGGAAAGGAAACACCGCATGATGAGGGGGAAGAGAACACAAGCAACCCCAAAACCAAACAAAAACCCACCAAACAAAAACCCAAAACACCACCAAAGGCCAGAGGCCGGTTCCCCCTCATCTAGAAGTGTTTCCTCTGTACGGAGGTGAGACAAGTGAAAAAAGCTGACTGTGAACTAACTATGGGCCTGAATTCACTACGAAAGTCGGTCGGTAAGGTCAGCGTAAGAGCGGAGTGCAACGGAGCCAATCAAAGGGGCTTCGCCCCACCCACAAAACTGTGACCAAAAGGCCACTGCATCGAGTGGCGAAAGTGACAATTGGGTGCTTTGCAGGAGCTGCATTGTTTGTTGTCAGCAGGTCTGATTCTTGCCCAGGGAAATCAGTTGTTGCCCTGCCAAGCGTGCCGTGGAAAAGTCCCATCTCGTTGCACAACCCTTTCACCTGATTGCACGAACGAGGCGAGAGGCATATCGATGGTCAGACAGTAGAGGCAGAGGCAAACGAATGGAGTTTGCTGACTAGGGTGATGCCATCCCCCCCGAAGGGAGGTCTCCTCTTAGCATTCAAGGAGTGCCAAAGCGGTACACTCTGTTCCTGAAAGAAAGAGAGGTGCTAACGTGCGAGCATTCTCCTGTTGCGTGCAAGGCCCGTGTGAAACCAGTGAAACGTGGACCTATCCTAGCATGGTACTTGTGCCTCTTTGTACAGCAATGGTCATGGCGTGGCCGCTGCAAAGAGAACTAAGGTTCCCCCTGGCAACCTTCCATTACCATTCTCTACCACCCGCCTCTTGGGAGCGAAAGCTAAGGCTCTCATTCCTGTAGGCTCACTGAAATGTTGATGGTGAGGCCGAAATGATGGCTTTGCCTGAGCTTTCTTTGGCCTGGCTCGCAAAATCGAAACAGCAGAGTAGCAGTCCATCCCCACTGTCGTCAGAGTGTTGCCAGTCTAGGGTATGGCTTCTTGGAAGTCTTCTCTCCATTGGTCGTTGGCATTTGGCGGCAGGAATCGGAGCCACTGGGGCTTGTCTAAATGCTCACATTTGTCAAAAGCATTGAGCCGGGCATAGGTACCTCGCCATGTTTTGCTTTTCCCTTTTTTACGAACTGCTCGAAGCTGCGTGCAACCTGCAAAAGCACGCCTCGCAATGTAAAGTAGGGATGGTGGGATGCAGACTTCTTGCAGCGAGGTACATTTGAGAAAGGCTTCTTGCTCAATGATTCGTAAATTTTGGGGAAGGCTGAGTTGTTGCAGCTGCGAGCAGTACGCAAAAGTTGAGCCCAAAAGTTCACTGATACACGTTTGGGACAAATCCACAGTTTGCAGCTGCTGGCAGCTCACGCACGCGGCTGTCCCTATCCTGTTAAAATCTGACGGCAGGAAGAGTGCGACGATGCCTGCTTCCAGGAAGCAGCAGTCAGGCAGACTTCGGTTCGGATGTGTAGGACCGCACCCTGACTTACCCAAGTCGAGGTGCTGCAGGGCCGTGCATCCTTGAAACACACGGGGCCGCAATTGTGCTTGGGGGGCGAGTATATTGCCAGGGCACTGAGTCACTCCTATTTGCGTTAGGGAGCAACACTCCTCGAAGACCTTAGTGCCGAAGTGTTGGCAGCCAGGGGCAGTCACTACTCGTAAGACTCGGCATCGGCTGAAGGCACCATGCAGCAGACTGACTACCGTGTCTGGTAGGTGGACCACTTGCAGCTGTCGACAACTCCTCCACGCAGCTTCCCCTACAATCCGCATACCGGGTTCGACTAGGACATGACGGACGTCCGTGTGAAAGGAGAAGGCTTGCGGTGGGATTTTATCATGCCTACCACGTGGCACTCTGATTGCCTTGGCTTCCCCTTTGAGTTGCCCTTTGTGTACTGCTTCTGCAAAACATTGTCGAGCAATCACATAGAAGCAATGATTGGCTCTCAGTTTACTCTGTATGGGGTC